GTTTCTTTTGGTCTCTATCTTCCTTTAAATAATTTTTAAATTAATACATTTTAGAAACCCCAAAATGTTATGAAACTGAAGCTACCAACTTTTATGCAATGAAAATTTTTTCTTTTGCTAATTGTTTTTTAATGTAAGAAGCCCTTTAAAAAATTGCAATCGAAAAAAATTGCTTCTGAAGCAAGGAAATAATAATTTAGTTAAAATTTCGGGATATTTGGAAAATCTACGAAAAAATAATTAAAAATCACTAATTTCCTTGCCTTCCTTAGATCCTCTTACAATTTTTTTAAATGACTTGTCACATTAAAATAAATAATTTGTAAAAGAAAAAATTGCTTATGAGGTGAGGAAATAATAATTTTGTTTAAATAATATAGGGATTTTTCGAAAATCTGTGTAAAAAATCAAAATTAATAATTTCCCCGACTTCGATCTTTTAAAATTTTTTAAAAGGCTTCTAACATTAAAATAAATAATTAGCAAAGAAAAAATTGTCATTGAATAAACGTAGGTAACTTCAGTTTCATAAAATGTTATTAAAATGCTTTTTAAAATACTGGTTTAATAATTGTGAAAAATTCTAAACTTAACTAAATTTTTAAATTTAAAAAGATTTGCTCCTCATCTTTCTTCGGAGCGTATCTCAAATAACCTTACAAATTTTAACTTAATTTTTTGTTAATAATGAAATTAAAAATTAATAACTTATTTTGTTAACAATTTACTTAAAGGATTTTATACTTTTTGTCGTAATTAGCTAAAAACATACCAAAACAATTTTATTTCTGGTTTGGAATTTTTTAAGAAATGGTCTGGAAAACCTGGAAAAGTCATGGAATTTTAAAATCGATGTCTTGTGGCAACCCTGAAATAAATAAGTAAATACACAAGTAAATAAATAAGTTCCATTACAACACAGACAGCGCAGCATTAGCGAGTGAGGTATTTACGTATATTTAAAAAAATTTCAACAGACACTACGTGCATCAACGAACCTTAAAAAATTCAACAATTTATATTATCAATCGTTTATTAAATCTATACATATATGTGATTTGTGTATATGTAGGAGTTTATATCTGCATATGAGCAGTATACATGTGTATGTAATTTATGAACATGTGTGAGTATACATGTACATGTGATTAGTGTATATGTGTGAGTATACATGTGTGGGTGTTATGCGCGCATGCTTGATATTCATAGAACACTACTGCGCATGCCTGATATTCATAGAACACTACTGCGCATTCCTCACATTGATAGAACACTACTGCGCATGCCTGACATTCATAGAACAATAGTGCGCATGCCTGACATTGATCGAACACTACTGCGCATGCCTGATATTCATAGAACACTACTGCGCATGCCTGATATTTAAAGAACACTACTGCGCATGCGTAATATTGACAGAACACTACTGCGCATGCGTAATATTGACAGAACACTACTGCGCATGCCTAATATTGACAGAACACTACTGCGCATGTGTAATATTGACAGAACACTACTGCGCATGTGTAATATTGTCAGAACACTACTGCGCATGTGTAATATTGACAGAACACTACTGCGCATGCGTAACAGTGATAGAACACTACTGCGCATGCGTAACAGTGATAGAAAACTACTGCGCATGTGTAATATTGACAGAACACTACTGCGCATGCGTAACAGTGATAGAACACTACTGCGCATGCGTAACATTGACAGAACACTACTGCGCATGCGTAACATTGACAGAACACTACTGCGCATGCGTAACATTGACAGAACACTACTGCGCATGCGTAACATTGACAGAACACTACTGCGCATGCGTGACATTGTGAATATGTATACATTTGTGTTAATATTATTTTTAAAAGATATACATATATATACGGCTAGGGTCGGTCGGTCGGTCGGTCGGTCGGTCGGTCGTTCTTCAACTTAATATAATAAGAGATTATATTGTAGAATAATTTACGAACTTTTCATCCTTTTTCAATCAAATTACGGACTTTATGGAACTTTTTTCAAAAAAACTGACTTTTACGGACCTCAAGCAAAGTTACGGACTTTTACGGACCTAGTTCGAACCCCACCATGTCCAATAATAAAAATATTTAAAATCTTTAAAATTTCTATATTTTTGAGCGTGGCCAAAATCTTGCAAACCATGGTCAAGGATAAAAATAATTTTAAAGCTGAAAATTTGTATATTTTGACACTAGCCACAATTTAGGAAACCATGGTTAATGTCAAATATATTTTAAACCCAAAAAATTTCTATATTTAGTCCATGGTGTGAAACTTGCGTACCATGAGCAATGACAAAAATATTTAAAAACCTCAAAATTTTTATATTTTTTACCATGGCCAATATGTAACCAAACCTGAAAAATTATGTATTTTGATTATATCCACATTTTTTGGCCTTAAACTATTTTTACCTTTGACCATGGTTTTTGTTAGATTTTGGAAATGGTCAAAAATAAAATTTTTTAAGTTTTAGGCTATAGTTTGCTAGATTTTAACAGTAAAATATTAATTTATAGTATGCACGGAGAAAAGTATAAAGTAATTTTCACTACTTTTATAGTAAAACATTTCTGGTAACTTTTACTACTTTCGAAGTAAATTTTTCATACGTTCGAAGTAAATTTTACTAATTTTTTATAAGCATGTTCTTTGAACGTAGTAAAATTTACTTTGAACGTAGCAAAATTTACTCCGAAAGTAGTAAAAGTTACCAGAAATGTTTATAAAAGTAGTAAAAATTACTTTATATGTTTCTCCATGTGGAAAAGGGCCATAGACAATATTGTATCAGTTGTTGGCCAAAGTTTTAAAATATGGCTCAAAGTTTGATTATTTTTCCTAAAGTCATTGGTCATATTTGACTAGAATTTGACATTTTTCCATTTCTTCGCAAAAATAGTACAATGATGCCCAATAAATTCCATAAAAAATACTTTACTTTCAATTTATTCCTATACAAAATTTAAAAAAAATTTAAAATCATCTGGCGCCGATTTCCTGGGAATTTTTCTTTTTCTCCCAAGGGAAAATTGTTTCCTTTTTGTATAAATTTCAAAGTGTGCATTAAAGTAAACGGAAAAATGAAAGAGCAATCCTTCCATCGAAAGAAAGATCTCTTTTAATGCATGCGAATATATCTGCATGAAGGCTTTTATACTTTCTATTAAGATACTAAAAAGAATTATGCAGATTCACTTGGTTCGTTAATTTAAAAGGCCATTTCGATTTGCTTAACCGGTCATTCAGTGATAAGCCGGAGTCCATAACACAGTGAAATAGACACTTGCGACATTATAATATAAAACGAGATGCGAACAAGGAAAATATTGATTTTCTCCACTCTTTACACTTCTCTTGCGATCAGCTGATTGTTTCCATATTATTATTCAAACTTCAATCGTTATTTTACGAAATTTAAATTCGAAATTTTGAAGAATATTAAAATACCCCTAATTTCGTTAATTTAAACAAAGTTCATTTTCTCTTTCAATTAATATTTTAATTTCAATTTTTTATATTGAAAATCATTTCTTATTTTCGACAAGTAAATTTTTATATATTTTGTTTATTTCAAAGTTTTAAAATCCCCCTCTCCTTTTTTAATAATGGGAGATTGTGGAAAATTTTGTTCTGAAAATTGGTAAAAAAAAAATTGTTTACAGAAATATATTGATTTTTTCCCAGGAAGTTTACTTGCGTTTTTTCCATCAAAAAGTTTAGTATTTTCGGGAAAATGTCCTTGAATAAAAAAAAAAATACCTGAATTATTGTTGTCAAAGAGATTTTTTTGATTGTTTCTTTTTTTGTTTGCTTGAAAACGTTGAAAAAAAAGTCCATTGAAAATGTGGTGGTTGTCCGGTTGCTAAGGTTTGTCAGACTGTCTCCCGTGGTGCATCACTCTTTTCAAGATGGCTGCGGCCTTGGGCGTGGTTCCCCACATTACATTACGAACTGATTTCTTTCCCACAATTTTTAATTGTTCAAGTGATAATTAATTTTATTTCTAATTGTCCATCACTTAAAGAAGAGAATTATCGAGTTTTCCTGGTTATTTTCATTGTTGACTTTTATTAAACCGGGTCGACGACATACGACGCGAAGGCAATGCTTACGAAGCAGCCATCTTGCTAACTTCAATCCCTTCTCCTTTTCACCACGACGACGAGAGCGGTCCATTCGACACAGCATCTCTCTCTCTCTCTCTTCACCCCTCCTTGTGAAACTTTACACACGCTTCGTAGTATATAACTTTCAGACATATATTCTTCCAGAATTTTTAATTTTTTCTGAAAACTTCAGTTTTTTCTGAATTGAGACAAAAAAAAGAATCAAAAATGTTCACTTTTTGATTCTTTTTTTTTTTTTCTTAAACTGCAAAATTTTTTGTAGAATAGGGAAAATTTGTTTAGATTTTTAGATGATGCTAAAAATAATACTGGTTTTGAGGAATATTGCACTTTTTTACTGTTTAAAAGAGAGCGGGTTTTTGTTGGGACAAGCCTTAAATATCTTCAGGAGAGACTGTCTCATGAATATCGGGAATGCTCTGTTAAATTTTCTTCAGAACCATCCGATTGCAACAACTTTTTCTTTGACATATATTCCACGATCGACAAATTACTCTAGAACGATCTCTAGAGCAAACACCTTTAAGCAAAACAGAAAAAAGGCAATTCAAGCACTTTTGGCGTTCGGAATCGATCCTTTTTCGCCTTTAAGTGTGCCTTTGGCGGCAGATGTAAGAAGATGCCTAAGATTCTACACACACGCACACACTCGTTTTACAAGAAGAAAAGACATTGAGAATGCGCTGAGCGTGTGAAATTTTGCAAGAAAGGAATGAAGCAGAATTTTTGCTTCCCTTTTTCCAACCCCTCTCTCTCTCTCTCTCTCTCTCTCTTTCTCTCTCTTTTAACATCCCCCTTTGAAAGCGAAAGTGGCGCCGCTTCCTGTCCCTTTTTGGCTTATAATCTCTCTTCGCGCGGCGTGATTGTCAAAAGCAGAAAAAAGAAAAGAAAAAACATCTCGGAGTGTTGTTGAGAATAAAAAAAATTATTTTGGTTTCTTGTCAGGAAAAAAAAGCCGCTCTCAAGATTCAAAAAATATTGGTAAGTGAAACAAAATTCACTCTTAAAGAATCCGCTAGAATTCTCCTCATTCTGTTGTAGAATCGAAACGCGTTCTTCCATGTAGCTAAAGTTGTGAGGTGGGGGAATTGTGCTCAGCCATCTTGCCTTTCATCCTGTCCTTTGTACTCGTTCTCTCTGTCATGTGTTTGCAAGTTGTGCGCATGCTCGGAGCTTCCACTTTCTTTGACACGTGCCGCGCGCCGTCGCTTGATTCCCGAAACGAGAGAATCCAGAGCATCATCGCAATATTCTATATGGCCATTTCGCATTTACTTTTTCATGAGATTTGTGCGAAAATCGAGGTGAAAACTACCTGTAAATATCCGATAAAAAATAGAACCGAAATTTTTTACATAATCTTCCTTTAGTCAACTATATAAAAGATCCCCAAAATGTAGCAGTTTCTAAATTTCTTTTCTTGACAATACAAATTCCTTCTTTGAAAAACGAGAAGATAATAATTAATGATAATAAATTAACTTTCCTAGACGAATAGAATTTCACTTTTTTTTTTTTTTGAAGAAAAAAAACTAATTTCCCAAATTTATTAGAACGATAACGCCAAGTGTTTGTTATGCATCAGATGGAAGCATGGTATTGCAATAAGATTTAATTTATTCCATCGCAAACAGCACGACCGTAAATTGGATTTTGTGACGTATTGGTTATGAGCTCGACTAATTCGGCGTGCATTTCAAATAATTAATAAACAATGTAGCAGAATATTATCGGTGAACGATCGACCACCTCGTACATATATATATACGGATGAGGCGTTCATCAGGAAAATTAAACACTAGACCAGAAAAAAGAATAAAATCATTTTAAAAAAAGTGTTCCGTACGGTACACTTTGAGTAAGGAACCCTAAAAAACAATGATGATTTATATTAAGAAAAGAATGAAGATTTATTTCCAAAAATACTCATTATAGATCAAGATCAAAGTTGCATTCATCAATTGATATCGATCAGAATTGCTTCCTGAAGAGATTTTTTAATTTCCAATTTAAAATTCGGTAGTTTGTTTGGGGAGCATAGTTGGGAAGTATCAAGAGGTCTATTTTAACAAGATTATGGTCTTGGTCTAGTAGGGGTAAGTTTGCCAAGAGTAAGATGGAAATAATTCCAGAGCGGGACAGTGTTTGGGTATAATTTTACTGTCCCTATACTAACCCTCTGCTGTCCTCAGTATAGGATAGTAGAAAACTTTTAATTTAATCTTCTTTCTCTCTACAAGTCTTCTACTGTCCCTCTGCTGTCCTCTTTATGAGACAGTTCACAAATTTTTATTCAATTTTATGTTCTGATACTATCCTTCTACTGTCCCTCTACTGTTCTCCATATGGAACAATAGAGAAATTTGTGTTCAATCTAATGTCCTTCCATAATTTTACTGTTCCTCATCTGATCTCTTGTATGGGACAACAATAGATAAATTTGAGTAAAATCTAATGTCCCTCAACTATTCTTCTATTGTCCCTCTGCTCTCCTTTGAATGGGACAGTGATGAACTTTTTCTTCAATCTAATGTCTCTCTTCTATTCATCTACATTTCCTCTGTTATTCTCTGTTTGGGACAAAAAAGAAATATTTCTTCAATTTAATGTTCCTTTACTATCCTTCTACTGTCCCACTACTGTTTCTGGATGGGTGAGAAATACCTATTTAGTGTAATACCTGATGACGTATCATCTAATGAAGGATAATTCCTTCTACTGTCCCTCTTCTGTTCTTTCTGTTAGACAATAGAAAAATTTCTTTTTAATATAATGTCCCTCTTCTATTTATCTACAGTTCGTCTGCTATTCTCTGTTTGGGACAGTAGAGAAATTTCTATTCTAATGTCCCTCTTCTATCCTTCTACACCCTTTTTGCTTTTCCCTGTTTGGGTCAGTAAAGAAATTTTTATACAATCTAATGTTTTTCTTATACTCTTTTATTGTTTCTTTGCTGTCCCAAATATCGAACAGTAAAAAAATTTTAATTCTTCTATCCTTCGACAATACCTCTTCTGTCCTCTGTGAGGGACAGTAGAGTAATTTCACTGCAAAAAATACTGGGACGAAAGTGTCTTAAATCAAGACACTTTTAGTGTTCAAAACGCGAAAAACGTCTTTAATTATGGCGCTTTTGCTCGATTAAAACACTTTTGTCCCACTTTTAAGACACCTGTTTTTGCACAGTTGTATCCAATATAATGTCCCACTATTATCCTTCTACTCTCCCTCTGATGTTCCCTGTATGGGACAGTAGAGAAATATTTATTCAATCTAATGTCCCTTTATTATTCTTGTGCACAGAGAAAAACAATTCTCTGTGGCTTTGCTGTCCCTTTGCTGGCATAAAAATGTTTTAAGGTATGGGACAGCAGAAAAATTTGTATTCAATCTAATGTCTCTTTATTATTATTGTGCACAGAGAAAAAAATTCTCTTGTGGTTTTGCTGTACCTTTGCTGTCGTAAAAATGTTTTAAAGTATGGGACAGCAGAAAAATTTCTATTCAAAATCTAATTTCAATTATTTATCGAAGTGATAACAGGCACGTAAAAAATTTTCTCTTGGAACAGGGGAAAGTTTCTCTAAAGTAGCGAAACTATTAACTGAAGGAACTAAAAATTTCGCTAATATTGGAAAATTTGTAGCTATTGTAAGTAAAACTTATACTTGGTGTGAATTTTTTTTTTTCGAAATTATTTTGAGAGAAATTGTTTATTATTTTTTTTGGAGGGAAAATTATTCGGATTGTGGAAAATAGAATTGTGTGAATTATAAAATGATTCTTAATGTTTGATGTATATGAATGTATTTTTTTTTTATGAAAGTTTCAATGCGCTTGGGCAGTTTATGAATTTCGCGTGCAACTAGGTGCACACATTTTTCATGCCCGCCTCTCCATTAACCCTCCGTCGCGTTACTGCTCCCCAGACTTACTGCATATTGATCTCATCAATCCTTCCTCCTCCTACCAGACTGATTCTCCCTTCTGGAACCGCTGTCTCTCTCTCTCACTCTTTCTCTCTTTTCTCTCTACCTCTCTCTTTCTTTTTCCCTAAGTTTCTCTCTTTTTTCTCTATCTTTCTCTCTTTTTTCTATCTTTCTCTATCTTTTTCTTTCTTTCTCTTTCTTTCTCTTTCTTATCTCTTCCTTTCTCTACTTTTCTCTCTTTCTCTCTCTCTCTCTGCCTTATCTCCTTCTTTCTCACTCCTTTTTTCTTTCTCCCAGAAAATTTTTTTTCTCTAACCTTTATTTTTCACTCTTTTTCTCCTTTAACTTTTCCATTTTCTCTCCCTCCTTTTTCTTCCTGCTGACTTTTTTGTTTTTATCCACTTTTCCTTCTCTCTCTTTATTTCACGCTCGTAAGTTTTTTCCTGTTTTTTTGTACCTTCTTCCACTCTTGCTTTATTTCTCTCGTTACCGATTCGTTTTATCGTTATTTTTTTTTTTTTTTGCTATTTTCCCCTTTTTCCTTCCAGTTCAGTAAATTTTTGTCTGCTTTCCTTCGTCTTAAGTTAAAGGGGGGTTTTTTTTCTTCCATTTCTTCTTTCCTCTCGATGGGGGAAAAAATCTACTGTTCTTGATAGCCAAAAATTTTCTGATTAAATAAAATTATTATTGTCTGCATTTGGTAATGAAAATATTTGTGTCTTAAATATTTTTTCAATAACAAATTTGACGATAAATTGGATTATTTCTTTTATTGCTTTTTATTGAACAGAAACTTGTCGGTGGCGGACTAGAAAGAAAAAATTAATACTGCTCTTGATAATTAATCATTTTCTCAGTAAATAAAATTTAAAAATCTTTGGTCGCCATTTCGAATCCTTAAGTATTGACCATAAAGATTCGGATCCAATTGCAGATGAAATTCGTTTGTTTTAAACACTTTTTGAATCAAAGGTCCGTCGAACTTTCGATAAATTAAACACAATTTTTTTTTTTTATTTTCTTATCGACCAGGTTCGAGCCAAGTTAGTAAGAAACTAAATCGGTATCAAAGTTACAAAAATAGTTCAGCCAAAGAAGAACAAGTTTTTTGGTACACAAGCAAGATCTCATTTTTTTCTTTTATCGATAACTTGATAAACCTTTAGAAATATTTTTTTTTTCGTTTTCCCTCTCTTTCTCTCTTTTGTTAAAGAGAAGAAGAAGAAGAAGAAGAAGAGAGAGAGAGATTTTCTCTCTTTTTGTCTTCTTGATCCTTCCCTCTCGTTTCGTTCACGATCCAAAGGAGAGAGAGTAGAAAATCGAGGCATCTTATCTCGCCGAGCATCGCCTCTGTATTCACTCGATAAATGTCAGTTTAATCGGCAATAACTTGAAAGAGAAACGGTAAACGAGACGCGAATGCCTTTTATTGAATCGCTTGTTATTTCGCGTTTATCGAACGTTTCCCTCTTCAGCATTTTCGAGAAACGCAAACATTATACGTCTCTCAAGGCACACTCGCAGGACACGTTAGCGGAAACAATTCGAATATTTATTATACAAGATACACCACGATAACAACTTTTATTTTCATTCATTAAAATACTGCCTTTTTTTCTTCTTCTTCCTTTTGGAAAAGTAATCAAGATTCTTGACAACTTTGTTCGAAGATGCTACAGAATTAGGTACAAAATAAATGCTTATCATTTCGAATGAGAATGAAAGAATTCTTGTCAATCTGTTTTCTTCTAAGTTCTCCTCTTCTAATAATAAGTATTATTAATTATTTTAGAGAAAGAAAATAAAATCATAGTTTTGCATTAAAGATCAATAAATTCATTAGACAACTCCCAAATCTAAAAAAAATGATCCAAACAGTAACTAATCGCAAAAAAGTGGTAAATTGAAGATTCACAGTAAATCGTGAGGAATTAAAAAGTGTTGCAGATTAAATTAACACCAAAAAAGATTAAAATAATAAATTTTGGTGTTATTTTTTACAATGAATGAAATTTTAGTTCATTAAATTTTTTTATAACTATAAAACATGAA